TCTACACGAATGATTGTATCGGTCTTTGGCCTTGGACGAGTTTTTGGACTTGCACACCAAGGTTTGGGGTTTCATCGTATTTTCGTTTTAGGATAGGGTTTGTATAATGGCATCAAACGGAACCGAAAGCCCTAAACGTAGATCATACTAGTAGGGGTACCTTAGATCTATCCTTCAAAGAGCGCTGGGCCTAGACCCTTTACCCTAAACCCTTAAGCAGGCCTGACGGCGTGCGAGCTCTGCGCTGCGGGCACCTTCCGGGCTGATCTCGGTGGAACCTCCGCGGAAGACTGCGGCAAGTGGGGGCCTCGTACCGTTTTTGTCTTTCTTTCTGTAAAGAGTCCAAGACCCCCAAGCCCTCAACCCAACATCCTCATCACAGGAAGTCCTGGACGTTGCAAAATCCTAGTAGCAACCCCAGCACACCCGTGCAACGCTCTTATAGAAACTTTGTAGTAGAACAGACTCCTTGTGAATTACTTTGAGGATCCAATAAAACACTTATTAGAGTCTCAACGCTAGTCTCTAAATCACAAACCCTCAGAGCCCTTGACCGTAAACCTCGAAGCCTTAAATCCTAAAGCCCAAACACTGAACCCTAAACACTAAACCGCAAGAGTTTAAACCTAAACCCAATTTTCCCTAAAACCCTAAAGCCCTAAGCCCTTATAGATCTTTTTCAAGGAACCCCTTAACAATCCCTTTAAACGGAACCCTAGAAACCCCCCACACACCCTCAGAGCCTCCGAGGTGCTCCCTGGGACGCTTCTCCACCGTGCTCGGGGCCACCGATGCTCAGGCCGTGAGCAGCCAAAAAGTGGAGAAAGCAGAATTTAGGGTTTAGTTTAGGGTTTAGGAGGGTAGAAAGGGAGAATGTTTTTTGGGTTTAGGATTTAGGGGCTTTAGGGTGTAGGGTTTGGGGGTTTTGGTGTCTAGAGCTACCAGAGTGGAGAAAGCAAGTTTGTTACAAAGGCAGGGGACTTAGTAAGGGTTCTTAAAGGGCTCCTTAAAGGGATCTACAGGGTTCTTTACAGCGATCTATGGAGCTGCCGAAAGTTCAGGGACCCCAAGAAGCTTTAGGGGCTCCTTTTAAAGGGATCCCATAGGGGCTCCTTTTAAAGGGATCCATAAGGGCTTAGGGTCGGGGCTTTAGGGTTTTGGGGTTTAGGAGTGAGGTTTAGGGTTACCAGGTTTGTCACAAGGGTTGGGCGGTTGGGCTTTGGGTTTAGGCTTTATGGCTTTATGGCTAGAGCTATTGGGGTTTGGGGGTTCAGGGTTCAGGGTTTAGGGCTTAGGGTTTAGTTTAGGGTTTAGGAGGGTAGAAAAGGAGGCTGTTTTTTGGGCATAGGACTTTGGGTTTAGGATTTAGGGGCTTTAAGGTGTAGGGTTTTGGGGTTTTGGTGTCTAGAGCTACCAGAGCGGAGAAAGTCGGTTTGCTACAAGGGTTAACTGTGTTGAGGGTTTTGGCACTAAGCTACCAGGGGGGAGAAAGTATGATGTAGGGTTTAGGGCGTAGTGTTTGTGGAGAGCCGACGAAAGGTCAATCTGGGAACGGCAAAGCCCCAAAAGACAGGGACATTCTCCAACATCAGATGGGATCATGTTATTATTCATATTTTCAATACGAGGTCTCCTGATCAAGACGTCCCGGGCTTTCAAAAAGCTTGCAACATTGTAATATTGAGGTGTTTAGGATTCTTTCTTGAGATGCGAGTTGGGGTGCAGGATCTCGAAAAGGTTTCACTAAGGTAAGGAACCTTCAAGGAGAGGCCCTCAGTATTCCTCAGTTGAGGCTTCTGTAATATGATCCTTACTCAAACCAAACCCGAGATGATCATCCCAAAACCCCAACACCTAAAGCCCTAAACCGGAACGATCAACCCAAAACCTAAACCTAAACCCTAAACCCATTAGCCCAGCCCGAAACCCTAAACCCCCACACCCTAAACCCCTAAACCTTTAGCCCCGAGCACAGGTCTGCGAGAAGTGCACTGCCGGGCGCTGGTCGGGAGAGCAGGGTGTCTCCGAGTGCGCAGCTTGCGAGGCCGCTTTGACAGTTTTAGGGTTTTAGGGTTTAGAGTTTAGGGTCAAGGATTTAGGGTTTAGGGTTTAGGGGTTTCGGATTTAGGGTTTAGCGTGAGTTTAAGGGTTCCCTTAAGGGATCTAAGGGGGATCCATAAGGGTTCCTTTTAAGGGATTCCTGTCCTCCGTTAAGGGATCCCTGTACTGAACAGTGTTTAGGGTTTAGGATTTAGGGTTGAGGGTTTAGGGCTTAAGGGTTCCTTTCAAGGGAGTGATAAGGGTTCCTTTAAAGGGGGTCTTTAAGGGTACCTGTAAGGGCTCCTTTAAGGGTTCTATAGGGTTTAGGGTATAAGGTTCCACATGTACTACTATTAGGGAAGTAGGTCCCGAAAGACCATGGTCATTATGGTTTTTGAAGTCCTAATTCCATGATGGTAGTATAAAATAGACCCTCTTGGTCAGAGGGAGTCTGTTAAGGGTTTCGGGTTTGCGGTTGAGGGTTTGAGATTTATGGTTTCGGGATGGTGGTTTAGAGTTTATGGTATAGAGTTTCGGGTTTGGGGTTCAGGGGTTTATTTATTTGGATCCTGCGGGGCTCAGATGCGTCTACAAGTGGTCCTGTAATTTAAAGGGTTCCAGAAGGTTGCTGTAGGCATTTCATGGTATAGGGTTCCGAGTCGTAAATTATACTGTCCACTATTCCCCTGCGGCCTGCATGTACCATGCGATCCTCACCACAACCTAATTCTAATTTTAGTTTCGGGACTTGGCAAAAAGGTGCGATGACGGCACACATCGGCCCGTTTAGGAAGCTGCTTCTTGTGTCACTTCTGTTGACTGTCTCCTGAGCAATCAACATCTTACTCACTCTCCTAAGTCATTGGAGCATCTATGTGACCTTGTTTAACCTGGTCACGTACTGAGACACCTGGACCTTCAAGCTGTAGCTGCAGTCGACGGTGTTGTAGGACCGCTGGGTTCAGGGTCCAGCAAGTTGGGCACAGCATATTCAGAACTTCCTGTACTGCGCTCGAGAACTTTGTGGGGATCCCTTTTTCTGACACAAGCCAGTGGGTACCGCAGACTTAGCATCCAGCTAAGCAATCTCTGTAAGCAACTCCATAGATCCACATGGGTAGTTGACAAAATGTGTCCCTTTTTGGGTCCTTAGTATAATACGGCACCTTATATTTAGGGTACCCAAAAAGGGACCATAGTTTTGACAACCACCCACATGATTCCCGAGATCCCAAACCAGAACACCCTGCGCCCTCAGGGCTGAGCATCCCAACCCCTGAAGACCAAGCCGTCCAAACTCTTAACCCTAAACGCCCTTGAAATCTTAGGCCCTAAAACTGCAACTGCAAAGGCCTTACAATCTTATTCCCTAAACCCTAAACCCGAAGTCCCTAAACCCTAAACCCTAAACCCTAAGCCGTTAACCCCAAACGCCTAAAATTTGAAGTCCCTCTCGAGGCCGGGAGGGTGGGCACGGCCCTGGGCGCCGTGGATGCGTCGGTTTGCGGGCCATGTGCCCTGGGGGAGTGGAGCGAGGCCACCTCACTTCTGCTGGGTTTGGGGGTTTAGGGTTTAGGGGTTTAGGGGCTTGGGGTTTAGGGGTTAGGGGTTTAGGGGTTTAGGGGTTTCGGGGTTTAGGGGTTTAGGGGTTTAGGGTTTCGGAGGTTTAGGATTTTGGGGGTTTAAGGTTTAGGGTTCTTGTCTCTGAAAAGGACCTATGGAGGTTACGATTTTGAGGGGTTCGTTTCTTGCTTTGTTTGTTTGGGCTTGAGGGTCAGGTCCTTGGCTTAGACTTCTTGATTACTGGTTGAAAACCCTTGACCCTAAACCCGAAACTAAACCCTAGGAGTTGGGAGTTTCCGGGTTTTCAGTGCTTAAAGGAAGGGTTGTCAGTGGTAGCACTATATCCCAAAGTGGTCCCAACCTATTCCCAAAATCCTAGTTCCTCAGCTCACTGGTTTGGGATTTCTGGCTCACATAATTATAAGAGACTTCAAAAGATCTGTTGTTTTAATGGTACGTCCCTTGATTAAGGTATATACATTTACAAACATAGTTATAAAAGACTTCAAAAAGTCTGTTGCAGAAAAAGGTATGTCGCTTGATAAAGGAGTATTGGGCTCTCTGGGAAGTTATCCCCTTCTTCTGGCTGATTCTTAGTAGGGAGTGGGGGAATGGGAAATGGGGCCTATTATTGGGGATTATATAGGGACTACTAAAGGGATCCATTCCCCCATTCCTTACTAAGCACCAGACAGTCTTGCTAGTTTCGACAAGGCAGCGGCCACCGCCTGCTCTCTTTGTCAAAAGGGGCGCTGGAGCGGAAGGGAGGCGACGGCGCACTTCGGAAGCAAAGAGCTTTTGTTGTATATGCGGCTTAGGGCTCAGGGTTTTGATGCAGCCTTGAGTATAGGGGTATGGAATCTTTGGAGAGTTGGTTGATACGCATTGAGAACTGGGCTGCAGTTTTCCTCATGCTTAGTGCTTATAGTTTGGCCGACATACTGGGCTGGAGTCGTTTCGAGATTTGGTCGCGTTGAAAGCATAGTGGCTGCAAGCACCAGTGCACTCTCACCCGCAATATGTTGTTGAATGTGATCATTCTGGTCCTCGGCCGTTGCATCAAGAATCCTATTTTGAGGAGTTGTTCCATCCAGAGTATCGGCAGGCAGTAGTAGAGCAGTAGCCCAGCACATGGTTCAAAATCCCAATCTCTCTTTCTCTCTCTCTGGCTCTCTTCGCATATGGGCGCGCATATGTTTATATATATGTATATATATATATATGTATATATATATATATGTATATATATATATATATATATATATATTCTTTAAACATCTAGGTACACATACTTTCATTATCAAGGGTCTGTCTCCGGATCTCTGGGGCCAAGGACAGTTTGCAGCCTTCGCAGCGCCAGGCCCGAGCTTCCCTTCGCAAACGCGAGAAGCGACGCCATGGCTACAGCTTCCGTCACGAACGACCTGCAAACCCCCATTGAAGTGAAGCTTCAAAGTGGGGAGTGGCGGGTCGTGTATCCCCAGAAGTCTTGCGATGTCGAAGTGTGCGGGGAGGCATCGATGACTTCAGTGGAAGTTCGTTTGCGAGAAAGCCCAGAGGTGAAAGGCAGCTGCCAAGCAGCCAGCGGCTCCTCGCTACGGGCCTCCGTGGACTTCGAAGCTTTCAGCCGGCAAGCGAAGGGCCGCGACCGAGCCGAGACCCGGGAGCTGGCCCGTGAGGCAAAGCGAAGGCAAGAAGCCCAGAAGCGGACAGAAGCAATGATCGAGGAGGCTGCCGCCAAGAAGCGGGACGGAGAAGCGTGGTTCGTGACGATGTTTCTTGTGGCTTTAGTCGCCTTCCCCTTCACCCTCCTTGTTGTTTGCGCGGCCATTCGACCCGACAGCGCGGTTGCTGCTGCGCTACTGGCCAGCGCCACGGTACCCTTCTTGTGTTGGATCGGCGGTATGATAGGTCTCTTTGGGCTAAGCATGGACGAAGTTGCCCGCTTTCAATTTGCAAAATATGAGCCGTTCGTGCGCTTTGGCCTCCGTCTGGTGGGGCTCCTTGCTCTGCTTAGCCTTGCAGCGATGACGGCCCAGCACGTCCTGCAAGGATACTGGTGGACCGCATTTATTGTTTGGTCTGCGGTAATTCTTCTTGGCTTCTGTGTGGTTGCTTGCGGCTTCCCGGAATCGAAGCTGGACGCTAATAACAAAGGCATCCTAGAAAGCGAGCTGAAGGCCGCGGCAGGTGATGTGAGCAACCGAAGTATCCGCTTCGAAGGAAGCGTCATCCGTGAACATGGCCGGCCCTGCGTGGCCAGCTGGCCAGGGAAGTACGAAGGGGCGTGGGAAGCCCTCGTGTCGCAGGGCCGGAACGGCCAGGTCAGTGCAGCAGTGGTCTTCCTCCCTCAGGGCACGGACGACTACGGCAAATGCGACAGCATCCCGGAAGCTGAAGGCTTGCCCGGCACCTGCTGGTGCACACCCCTCTACGGTGAGCAGAAGCCATGGGGGTGTAGGTGGTTCACTAAGTGGAGGGAGAACATTGAAGCAGCAGTCGAATCCGGCGCAGAGCTGGAGGTGTACTACTTCCAGGGTCAAGTTGGCAAAGGCAAGGTGAAGAGCTTCGACACGGCAGGCGACGACAACCTCCAGAGGGAAGAGTTGAACAAGAAACAGAAAGACTTCGAGCAGTCTCCCGAGTTCGAGCAGGCGCTGGATGCAGGTCTCAGCAACCTCTCCAAGGAGCAGCGTGGCGACGGATCCTCCCAGTACAGCCGCGAAGCCCGCCGTTTGTTCCTCGCTTCCCTCTCGGAGGCAGAGCGTCAGTTTCTTGCAGCCACAGAGGGCCTGGGCAACTCCCAGAAAGCCGAGGTCGCTTGGCTGGAAAAGAAGGGCTACGCGTACTGGGAGGTGGACGTCTCCACGTGGCTCCCGGGAGACGGAGTTGAGAGATACGTCCCCGCAGCTGCCGAACAGCCCCAAGTGCTCGGCCGGAAGGACGACGCATCACCAATTTCAATTCCGATCGCCACAGATGCACTTGGAGGGGCAGGAGACTTAGTAAGTCCGTTATAACTAGAGTTATAAGTACCCTAAATAGAGTTACCCCAATTCTAACCAATTCTAACCCTGCTTATAACCGACTTACTAAGTCCCCGGCCCCTGCGCCTCCAAGTAGATCCAAACAAGGCGCGATCAGCGCATCAAGAGGTTGTGCCGACGGCCTTGTGAGCTAACCTGTCCCACATTCCTCACATGTCATGTCCTCCGAACCACTGCAGAGTTCTCAAAGAGACTTGTACTGCGAGGGTTGAAGCTTCGACCGTGGAGCATGCTGAAGGAAGGGCCATACACTACAGATCGTCTTCTTCGGTCCTTCACAAGCACTTTCAGTCATGAGACTCCCATATCTTACTTGTGAGCATCGGACTCAAGCAGGACAGTTCTGTGTTGTCCTCGTTACTGCGAGTGTAGTGTGCGCCGATGGGCCAAATCCCGCAGATAAGAGCATGCTGGCATTGAAGCATCGGCAAGTGCTGGTTTGTGTTCTAGCATCGGCAGCCGGTGTTTCTGCAGACTTAGCTTGCTGATCAAAACAAATCATGTGGAGCGCGTCCGTGTTTCCGGGTTCGGGTTTTCGATTCTTTAGGATTTGGTTCTTGGGTTCGAAACCAGCCAAGGCTCTGTGACGCATGCGTCCCCGGGCGGTGGAGCAGCCAAGAAGGCACAAAAGAAAGGGCTTCATTATTGTTGGGATGATGGGGAGCATCTAGGTTCTCCACTGGTACCCTTTACCCCTTTCACGTCGTTGAGTCCTTCAGTCGGCCTTAATAATTGGAATAGGGGTTCCCGGAATATTGCAACATGGCCATGTGGGGAATTGTTAACCACTAGCGATGCAGACCTCCATGTAATTACCGTTGTTGCAGCATCCCGATTTTAATTTTGTATTCTACCAACGGTCTTTAGCGTGTAAGTTTTAACCCTAAACCCTAAACCCTAAACCCTTGTTACCAGGATTAGTAGCTCTGTGACGGTGGCCATCGCTCCGGAGTTGACAGGGCTTCGGGTGCTGGTCAAAGAATGAGGGGCACGGCGGAAGACTTGCAAATCCTAAACCCTAAAGTCTAGGGTTTAGGGTTTAGGGTTTGGGGTTTAGGGTTTAGGATTTAGGGTTTAGGGTTTAGGGTTTAGAGTCTAAGCCCTAACCTACTCTGTTGAGAAGGTTCCCATATCGGGAAAATGGGGCAAACGCTAAGATATTAGTAGAAGTTCGCTAAAAAGCATGATCAAATACCCAGCACAAGATCCAACGTCTCCTCAGAAGCCCAGACGACTTAGTAAGTCGCCTCAATTCTAACCCTACATATAAACTACTTACGAAGTCCCCTGCTTCTCCAAGTAGCCTAAACCCCATAGATCCCTGTAAGGAACCCTATAGATCCCTTAAAGGAGAAATTTAAGAGCCCTTACTAAGCCCCCTGGGCCTCCAAATACGGTTTCGGGTTTTAGGGTCGGGAGGTACTTGAAGGCTCATGGGACTTAGTAAGTAAGGTTATAAGTAGGTTATAATTAGTATAACTCCACTTAGGGGACTTATAACTCCAATTACAACCCACTTACTAAGTCCCATGATCCTCTAAGTAGCAGGCCGATGAGGCTTGAGGCTTTGGGTTCAGGGCTCCTCGTCCAAGTTCCTGAGTTGTACCTTTTGCCCTTTTTATGTTAGGGCCCCACACGGTTGATGATATACATCCTGCATGACCCATAGTAAGAAATATACCATGATTCCCATAGTTTAGGGTCCTGAAGGTAATGCAGGGTTTATATCATCAACCGTATTAAAAAACCGAATAGTAGGAAAAAAGGGTGCCTTTCATTAAAAGAGAACATGACGGGCTACTCAGGAGCTTAGTCGTTCAGGGTTGATATAGGAGTGCTGGGGCTTCGCGGCTCAGCGTGTCGGGGTCTTCTCATATTCAATCCTAAACCCTTAAACGCCAATCTTCATAACAGAGGGTCTTGAATAAATGCTTAAGTACCTTGAGGGTTCCTTAATATATTCTTGGTATAATGGGCCCGAAGACCTCATCCTAATGATTAACGCCCTATAATGCCGTGGCCCGCCATAGCGTGTAGGGGTGTTGTCATACTTGAAGGCTCATGCGACTTAGTAAGTAAGGTTATAAGTAGGTTATAATTAGTATAACCCCACTTAGGGGACTTATAACTCCAATTATAACCCACTTACTAAGTCCCATGATCCTCTAAGTAGTTAAAGTTTCTGCCAAGACAGCCTTCACCAAAAGCAACGTCCGGTCCCCGTCTGTGTTTTTGCCACTGCTTTCCCAGAGGGTCCAAGTACTCCCGATTAAAGGACTCGAGGGCCTTTTGAGGTACCAAAAAACCATAAATGAGGACTACTTGGACCCTTAGGGTTTGCCAGCCCCTAAAGTGCAAAACCCTAAACCCTAACCCAAAGCCCTTAAGTCTTCAATCCTAAAGCCGTAATACCTACTTGAAGGCTCATGGGACTTAGTAAGTAAGGTTATATGTAGACTATAATTAGGATAAC